CCCTAGAGTTAAACAGTTGAGTTTTACCGTTTTCGAATCCATTCAGCCGATCTCCGGGTCTGGCGGTAGCACTTAGCTTAGCATAGATCATTGAATCTAATTAAACTGTTAGCATCTCGCTCAAAAATGACCAAAGAGTTTCTATATTTTTCCTATTTAAAACTTGACTCTTCTGTAGTTATATCGTGTACTAAGACTGATGGAAAATAAAAGTTGCGATTTTGTAGGCCGATATGGCTAGGAACTATAATGCTAACGGTCTAATCAGATTCAATGATCTATGCTAAGCTAAGCTAAAAGTGCTACTGCCAGACCCGGAGATCGGCTCTATTTTCAAAAATAGTGGAGTGTTCCTTTAATACCGGAAGACATTTAGAGAAAAAAGTTTGTTTGTATGTTATTGTCTTGTGCAAACTTGTCACCAAATTGTGATTGTGACATGTACAGAAAGTTATCTTACCTGGCTGGTCAGGTGCTGTGGGTACGACTGTGAGTGTTGGACTAGACGGAGATGGCATTGTAGTTAAAGACGAGGTGTCTGTCTGGCTTGAGATGGTAGCAGCTGGCATTGTGGGCAGAAGGCTTGTCACAAGTAGCACTTGGGACAGTAAAATTACAGCATTGAGTCGAGAGCCGAGAGAGTAAGTAAAGAGGGCCAGCTACCTCCTACTGTTAACACTTCTATTTTTAATTTTAGCTTTGGAAAACATACTTGTACTTATGCAAAAGAATACAAAGTCTGTAAAAATTACAAGTGGGTACATCTAGCTACATTTAGTTAATAGAAAAATGAACTTTAATCACTCGGTTTTTTTTGTTAAGAGCTGTTTTCTAGTTTTAATGTATTGCAATAAATGTCTGATGATAATGATTATTGCTTTTAGATGTTATTACTGATTTTATTATCCTACATTATATATTTTTCCATGACTAGTATAAATTCAACCACAAAGCTAAAACAGTGTAAAACACCACAGACAGGCAATGCACTATGGTCCATCTACTTCTAAACAGAAATTAAAAGGAACTTTAAAGTCAACATGAAATAAAAGTCAGCCCTATTTATTTGCCCTGTACAAGATACTGATATTATTGTAATTCAAATGTTTGTCTGGTCCACTTTCACAATCCAATTAATTCCCGACCAAGATTCATCTCACATTTTCATCCCACTAAATATCCTGTTTCCTTCAGATTCAGAATTGCATCGCCTATTTACTTTGCCCAGTACAAGTACTGATCTTATTGTGAGTAATTCAAATGTTTGTCTGGGCCACTTTTCACAATCCAATTAATTCCCAACCGAGTTTCATCCTACATTTTCATCCCACTGAATATCCTGTTTCCTTCAGAATTGCCTCATATTATGTTAGTGAAATGCATTGCGAATAGCATTTCATGTTGACTTTCATGCAAAACAGGGAGCTAAAAGCACGTCCATTAAACAAGGTTTCATAAATTAAGTCTGTATCCACCAGCTGAACTGCTTTAAGATGCTAATGCAGTCTCTGCCTGTGTCACCTGGTGTGTTGGTGAGGGATTCAGGGATCTCTGAGCCGCCTGTAGGGGCAGGAGGAGAAGTCGATGTGTCACTGGAGGTGGCCGTGTCTAGTCAGCAGACAGAAGGATGAGCTCACCATTGCAGGGATCAAATACCACGACAGTATTGCCCATCAGAGCCTAAATCAGCCTGATCTCAGCTATTCGCTGACCACAAATAAAGGGCACCGCTAAAGACACCCACAGCAATAAACAGGACAAGCACTAAAAAGCACCCAGATGAGCACAATTGTGATGAGGTATGGATTTACACAAGACGTCAGTCGGTCATAAAAACATGTCCTTATACAGCAGACAATAACAATAATGTGGTATGTCCATCATGGTCAAGGCGATCTCATTTGTTTCATAGGTTTTCATTTATACAGTTTACACATACATTTTTATACACAAATTTATAGGTATATATCAATACTGGATATTTAACTCTGCATGCTCATTTGCACATTACCTTTACCAATTTAAAAGTTATTTTTTTAAAACACAATTTTATTATGAATTTAATATTCATTTTAATATTAATTTATTTAACACCTAAATCTCTTGTAGTTAAGTGTTATATGTTATATGTAGTTATATGTATTTATGTATTATTATTTATAATATGTGTGTGTGTGTGTGTGTGTGTGTGT